TTTTTTTTTTTTTTTAAGCAGCAAAAATGAATCGTGAATTCGAAAAATTCGTAAATTTTTTTCGTCCAAAGTCGATGACGTGTCTTGTCTTGACCTTTCTCTCCAGCTCGACGATTCCGTGTTCAAGAGATCCCGGTTCGCACGGTTGACCTCTCGTGACTTGCCACGACGAGATAGAACCTTTCTCTTCGCCGGCAGATAATTGTTGTCTACCGCGTTCTCTATATTCCTATCCTCTCCCACAACGAACTCTCTTCTCTTCGCTGCACGCTTTGCTCGTTTGAAAGACATTTTGACGTCGCGATCTTCTTGATACGGGGAGGAGGAGGGAGGGGGGCGTCTGCCTTTTATCCCGTGTGAAAGGGAGATATCCGCCAAAGAGAAAGAAACCCCATTTCGTATTCCTTCTTTCGCGACTCTATGTTTCCTTTGCGCTCTCTCTCTATCTCTCTCTCTCTCTCTCTCTCGGCTTTTTTTGTCTCCCTTTAAACGCAAATTTCTTTTATCTTTTTTTGTCAAGAGGATCCAAGGAATACACTCTTTCCACGGTAAAGTTCAAGGATTTTGATTGTTTAGATTTTTTTTTTTTAGACGGTCAAAAATCAAGATGAACATTAAGCTTTTGATAATGAATGGAATTAATTTGTAGGGGAAAAGGTTCAAGTGGAAATTTTGGAATTATTTGGAAAAAGAGGTAATTTAGAAAAAATTCTGTTAGATGTGGATATGACGAATTTTTCAATCGTGCAACGAGAGGTATTATAAAATCTAGTGTATCACGATATTATGGAGAATAAATATCTTGTCTAGTAACTTTATTTTCGTTTCCATTCTTTTCCCCTGAAAAATTAATTTTTTCTTTTTTTTTAGGCAAAATTCGAATATTCAATTTAATTTATAATTATAACATGTATTGAAAAAAAAAATTATATCTTTATAAATTGTTTCACTAATTTCTCGTTCTAATATTCCTGTAGAAGATAATAAAACACTACTCACGTTATGTCGCGTGACAGGATACAATGACATTTTCTTCTCCAATTTTTTTTTTACTTTATTAAGGGCAATTCTTTCTCGATTGTTCCTCGTACACGTTATTCCGTCCTCGATTCCTCAAATATTCTTTGAAAAGATTTAGTTTACAAACCTCTTTATATTTATCCAAACATTTAAATATAAAATATTTAAATAATTAATTATCGCGAAGAAACGACGTAGAAGAAAATTCAAATCATCGATCTGCAATCTGTAATTCGTTTTCAATTAATTTTAATGAAGTTTTTAATATAGAAAATAATTATCACAACCGATAAACGATATATTTCATTGTTTATCCGATCCGATATCATTGTAGGAGAAAAAAAAAAAAATACATACCTTCACACCGAAATCGTAACACTTTTACCCACTTTTACTTTGTTTCAATGAGAAACAACGTGTTGTTCTCTCGAGGAGGAGGCATAAAGATACGCGGGTAGAGAAAGCTCGAGAAAAATCGTTAACCGCCCAAGAGCGAGCTGTATTATTCTTAAAACTTTCTAAAACAGATATCACGTTTCACGTTGCCAGGGTGTGGAGGGTGGTTAATTTTCGTGACTGATCGCGCACTATTTTAGAATTGCCTCCTCTCGAGGGTCGGCGACCTCACCTCGCCGTCACTTCCGGTTATCCGGTTTTCGAGCTTAAAACTCTCGAACCGGTCGTTTCTTGATCGTCTAATTTTTTAATTTTACAAATAAGCCTCGACCTGAATCGGTGATAAGTGTCAATTCACGGATCGTGGATTGTTTTAACATCGATTAACCGAACCAATTAGTGCGGCATCGATCGTTTACGACCAGCTTAAACTTTGTTCTTTGTATCAGACCGAGGGAGAAAAAAAATATTCGTATGTATTTCAATTTAATTTTAGCAGCGTTAATATCCAATAAAAATTGTTCGAGTGTAAATTCGAATATAAAATTGAATTTTTTTTTTTTTTTTTCTAAATAAAATGCAATCGATTGCAACTCAAGTACTCGAACAATTTTTACTTAGTTACAAAGTATTATAATGAACGTTCGTGTTGAGAACTGAGGAATATATTTCTCTCTCCCTCTTCCCCCAATTACGAGTGTACAGCGTGTTTTACGCAGTGTATATTTATATATATCGCGAGATCGTTCTCCTAGGATGTAAAATTCCGCGATCGGTTG